ACTATTTTTGTTGACCTTTGTCCATGGAAGGTCCCTGCAAAATTTCATTGAAATTGGTTCAGGGGTTTTGGAGAAGAAGTCGAAAATGTAAATTGTTTACGGACGCACGACGGACGACGGACGACGACGGACAAAAGGCGATCGCAATAGGTCACTTGAGACTTAAGACAAAGTCTCAAGTGACCTAAAAATGGTGGACAGAGAAGATGACAAGAAATATGTCAAAGCTGAACACATTTCAAGTCGCCCATCTCGCAATGGTTTACTTTCAAATTTGCTTAATCCAAAAAAAACATATTCGAGACGGACACATTGTTTTTTTATTACAATAAATGTCGGAGAAAACTGAAGTATGCGTGAAATACCACGAACTTTCACCCGCATATGGATCGTGTACAGAAATAAAATACTTTATTTACAACGGTTCTGACGATTCAATCATATTCTTTCTTTTTCAATTTCCATTCTTTAAGAGACAGAACGATAACCTTAAAGTGTGCTTGTTTGAGCACTTTTGATACATTTAATTTTATGTTTACTATCCCTTTTTGCTGTTCCTTTAATCATCTCTTGCATTGTAAATACTGTAATACTACTACACGTACTTATATATTCACATTTACTATGATACTTTTATATAATCTTTTAGTGCATCATTCTGAAATTATTTAGCACTTATTCTATTATGCACCGATCAAATATGGCTAAATCTTTTCACCTTTTCAGGCTGTAACTCTTAGCAACTTGATGACGTTACAGTTATTCTTTATTGTTTTAGTCACATGACCTTTATTGTCATTGTACCATATTTGTAAACATCATGTAACTGTGCTCTGAAGACTGTGCCTTTTGGCCGAAACATGTCAGCACGTAGGATGTAAATCTAACATTACATTTTGTACCGGATTCAGCGGTGTTGTTGCTCATCATTTCTTTTTTCAATTGCTCTGCTTTCCCTGATGAGCACTGTTGAATACCATTAAGGTATCCACCCCAGGATCCCTACCGCCACTATGGAACTGACTTCCTTGCAGGGACGTTGGGTCTCCACCCCCCAGTTGTTACTAGTCTATTTAAATTTGAAAAAAATCAGACACATTTTTGGAGCTGCACTTACCACAGTTGGCAATATTTTGAACATGCATTTTAAAGCTTCTTTCTGGTCATTCTTTTAACAATGTTTTTATTTTAAATTCTATGAATTCAAATACATGATTTTTAATTCATCCAGCCATTTTGTTGCAATACTACAAACCCTTCTAAATGACTGTTTTCTTTTCTCAATTCCAAGGTAAAATATGACCAGTTAAGTATTACCAGTATATACATCACTTGTTCATCACTTGATCCTATTCCATCAAATTCCATCTAAAGAAATAGCCTACATTCCTTCTAATTTTTCATTTTTATTATATTTACTGGTTATATGGATCATCAGATGTACATTTTCACAGAATTTTCTGTAAATATTGTAATATGACAATTCCAAAAATCTCATAGGATTTTCAATAGTACATGTATACATGTCTATATTTTTGAATTACGTAGAGTGATGAATGAATATTTAAATATCAAATTATTAAACGAGGCTGGGTGAAAATGAAGAGTAATACTGCCTACAATAGTGCCAGTTCTTTTTTCAAGCAAATCTGAAGATCATCTGCAATACATGAAAAGTAAAGCTTATATTACATTTTGCATTCTACAGTGCTTTTACAGCTCTACAAGCCGATATTCTCAAATGCAATAATACCTGAACTGGTGATTTGACAGTTTGAGGTTTAAGTGTGACAGGGTTAGTGGGTGTCAATTCCATGCCAGGCAAAATGTCGTAAAGATGTTCCTACAGACAGGAGTGAAAAGTCAAGTCAATTTTAACAGAAATATCTGCATGTCTGCAGTTACAGTCCACAGTACCTTCCCACTGTAATATTTCATTTTCATCTTCTACTTTATCAAAGCAATTAAGAATCAAAGAAAGTAATAAAACAATTAACCAACAAAAGAATGTTAATACAAACTAAAGAAAGTTTTATATAAAATTTCTATGAAACAGTAATTAAAAAGCAACAACATGCAAGTTAACAAAACCAAGAAAACGTAGAACAAATTTCTTTTTTGTGCATCCGTCTTGAATTTTTAGTTCACAAAAAGATAACTGAATGTTTATATTTCATTTAAACAAATTAAGTTACAATCACAATTACAATTTTTTTTGAAAATATTTTAAAAAAATGTTTTCATTAAATTTCATATTCCAGTTACAATCATTTAAAATAAATATATATTTTAACCCACTAGATTAAAATGTGAAACAATAGCAAAGTAAGGAAACAAAGTTCTAAAAGAAGGCACAAAAACATAAAAACAATGAAGTAATTAACAGAACTCATGCATTATGCGTCTCGTAATGATTATGTGAACATGCAGAAACTCACATCAGTAGCATATCTTCTGTAAGCTCCTCTCCCTAAGAAGTTGTATCCCCCATGTGTGCTTCCTCCTCGCATGCCTGCAGATACTCGCCCACGCCCTCTGAGAGCCCCACGTATCCCCACAGCTGTACGACCTTGAAATCCAGCTCCTCTGCAAAGACAACTAATTTAGATTAACTTTTCCTTTCTGTGAAGACTCACAGAGGTAAACTTAATTCTCTAGCATCAAGTAATGTATAGTTTACAACATTTTGTACCTAGCATCCATTTACAAATGTTTATACAGTAACATTAGTGTTATCATCAAGAAAAAACATCAGGCCAAAATGATTGGTTCAATAGTGACTTTGACCTGTTCAAATTAACTTTTTCATAATGTATGTTATAAAATGCAAAATATAGCTGGTTAAAAATTCCATTTAGCCTGTTCTTAGTTACTGAAAAGCTTCAATATATATTGATTGAAATGGAAAAAAACCCACCTTCAAACTTTATTGAAGGTCAATAAAATATTTTGAGTAATATGTCTAAATTATTGATGTTATAGCTTACTTAAATATTGAACCAAGCATCTACAGTTTTTTAAGGGATATTTAACCCTTTCACAACTGTAGACCATAATGGACTCATCTCAAAAAATGCATGGTAGAGTCTGCTTAAGTTGCCTAGGGGGTGAAAGGGTTACCAAAAGGGGCCTTCATAAGGCAGTTATGAAATAAAGTACCCTGATTATTAGTTACTAAAAGTAATGTCAGTAGTTGTGAAACCATTCATTAATATCATGTGTGACCTCTCAAAAAGCTATAGCATCTCTAATGTTTATTGCTGTGTTGCATAGAGTTCACAAGGGCATTGACTGTACCTATAGGAATGTTATCTACTCGTTGACAAGAGCATTGGCTAACTGGGGGACTGGTTATTTGGGGGGGTTGAGGTGAATCCGAACACTCCTCTCTAGTTCATGACTGGGGACGAATTGGGGCTAGAAAGAAAGAGTCTCTTACAGACTCTTGCAATGTTTGGCATCACATTATCCTGTTGATGAGCCTCCAAACAAAAAGCACAATATTGGGGCCTTGGGATCTCAGCTGTTATATTCCCATTAACAATCACTAGAGGCGTCTTCAAACCATTTTGAAAATTCCTTCCTAAACCATAACCGATCCACCCCCAAATTAATCAAAGAACATGCCTCAGCAAAACACCAGTGCACAAGTTGATTGCTTTCTACTCAAAATAATGTGAATAAAGTGGTAGGCAGATGCGAATTTGCAGTCTCTTTCTCACACCATTAACCTCCTATTATGCAGATGGGCACCTAGCCTGATCTTGACGTCACAACGTTGTCCTGATCTCGACCAGTTATTAACTCTACCTGTGGCATTTTGACACCTATGTTTTATACTGCAATGTATGTTTAATACAAAATGCTAAACAATTTAGTTGCATTTCTTTTTTGTTTTGGCATGTTCGTCCTGATAATTAACATGTTTAAGCAAAAAAAATTATATACCATTCTTGTTTTAAATACCAGACAAGCAATCTATTACGTCTACATATTATGAGAAAAAGAGTTGTGATAAAGGATTTTTTTAAATTAGAGGGGGACTGATGATTGATTAAGCATACCTTCCACCAGCACCCCCCGATCCTGTGTAAGCCTGGCCATACATTGCATTAGTTGCAGCAGCTTCCCCAAATACATTGAATTGAGCGTAGGCCTGTAAAGTACAAAATTAAAATCGTACAAAACCATTTCATCAGTACATGATCTAATTAATGTTTACTTTATAGTTGCATTCTCAGTATCGTATCATCATTTACAGTTGTCCAATTGTTCAACACAATATTCTGTATTTAAGCTTAATAATTTCTGCACAAAAAGAAAAATTACCTCTGCCTTTGTTCCTTATACATCAAGTAAACATTAAACAAGTGCTCAACTTTACAAGATACATTTTACTTAACATTTAAAAGAATACAAAATTTTCTCCCGGTCTTCATATACATATTGATATGCTGTTAAACCTGAATATAACTAATAAGGTTATTGTAAAACATACAATGTTAAATGTTGTTCCCAGATAAGGTCACAAGACTTATGAATCACAAATTTTCAGATAGATTTCGCAAAAAAAACCCCACAATATAACAAACATGAATCAACAGTTTATGAATGAACTATGGAACATTAACAATCAAACAAGATCCGTTTAATTATATGGGTTGACCGGTTCAAAATTAAATTTATGTATAAAGGTAAGTCTAGATTTGGTACATATAATTATGATAATATTTGCACATTTAAACAGACTATAACTACTAAATCTACTTGAAATCCTCATAGCTTGGTATCAGCATGTGTGCCAACTTACTAATACATGTACATGATAGAACAATGTGAACACAGTTTATAAATTACTTATGAAAATGTCCACAACAATATCATACTTTTCTAAATCATGTGTCTCACATTTATATGCATTCCAACAGTGTTGGACCTATAAACAATCGCCATGTCTTTTCAACAATATTGAATGCTATTAAGCTTGACCTTAGAAAAATAGTCCCTCATACAGGACTGTTTACAAACTCGAGACCAAGTTAGAAATATCTCGACGTTACGCACGAGAATAAAAAGGAAAGAACAATTTGCAAACTTTTCCTAACATCAACTACGCTTAGTACAGGGGTGTAGCATCTTTGTTATCCAAAGCTGAATCCTTCACAGGCAATCCCCCATTACAGAGAATTTTACATCCGACACATATTGGACTGTTTTTTATCATGAGCATTAATTATAACAAATCATTTGGACAAAGAATTTTTAATGTCATCATGGCACAATGCAAGAATGCAAACACTTACATATCAGAGAATGTCAGGAAAGACTCATTTGCCTCCACAATTACATCATGGTGTCTGACAATTTCAGTTAAAGTAATGAGGTTGATTTAAGCAATGAATGTTTTAGCAAATGTTGTTATGGCCCTATAACACACATTGCTATTGATGACAAACTTAATAAAGCCAAGTAGGGCTTTATGTAAGTTTGTCAGCAATAGAAATGTGTGTTATAGTTTGCCAGCGAATCGGAATATCATGGTTGATAAATAAATAGCGAGGAGTATCGAACAGATTAATTTTCCAAAACAAATATGGTGGCGGGAACGGACGTTTCTACAACGCCAAGGAAAATGTACCCATTGCGTAATAATTGCTTAGGCAACACCATCATACAGTCTTTCTTCTCTAATAGTAATAAAGCTTCAAATATCTTTTTCTGTTCGGGTTTCAGACGATCAATCTCAAATAACTTCAGAACTTCTGCATCATTCTCATCAATGTTCGCCATATTTGTTACAACTCTGAGCGCCTTTTTGAAAAAGGGTCACTAATTGGTCAAAATTTAATGAGTATTTATAAATATAAAGGTCACTTGAATGTGACCCTGACCGCTGCACACTCAGGTGTTCAGGCGTAGTACGAAGTTAACGAAGCCATGTAACATATGATTTTAATCAGATTGTGTTGTTATAGTCTCATAACAACATTTGCCTTCGTAATGTATTATAATTGAAGGAGGCAGAGCAAATGTAAAAATATTGAAATAACAGGCCTTTTCGCTCTTCAGTTTATCCTTCTGAACTATGCCTGTATTATTTCATTTATTTTGTTCGATTTTCAATTGCATCCCTTTTCTGGTGGCCCAGGGAAGCTATGTCATCCCCAAACCTTACGCTACCATGTCGAGGTTTGAAATAACAACATTTAATTGTAATAGAGTGCGAGTAATTGAGTACTAATGCGTGCCGCTAGGACACCTGTGGACAACGGTGATTTACCCTCCCTGGCTATTTATTTCTGCAACTGATCATGACCAGGCGAGTTACCATTTTAACCGATGTTGTTTCAATGTAACAAGTGATCACTTGGAATGGTAGCTCTTTCAATAAAGCAGACTTTCAATAAAACCGGGATCAATGTAACCGATACTGAAATACAAATAAAATATAGAAAAACGAGCTGGGGATTTTATTATCGCTCAAAATTAAGCTGTCCATATTAAAAAGAGAGATTTTGAGGAGCTCCATGTGACCTCTTCTTCTTTCCCTGATGAACCTCTAAAGTATTGGGGAGCTGCTCCGAGTCTTTCCTTTTATATAAACATATATTTACCATCACAAAGACTTTTGATGGGTTTTATAAGATTTATATGTACTGACTTTTAAAGTGAAATTGAGATGAACGATACAAAAAACCAAGAACATTTGAAACAAAAACTAACAAAATTTAATATATATCATCATGCATAACATGTTAGAAGTTTAACCTGGTTCAGGTATTGCATTGAATAATCACTGTCTTCTTCACCCTCCTAATAAAGCAACAAGTTTTTAAAATCAACTCTAGCTACTAACACAGAGACCAATCAGAATCTAGGACAATTTTTCTTTCATTTTTGCATGCAACAGTAAAAAATCAATATCCATTTGTCTTTGTGTTCAGAAATGTTAAGATGCCATACAACATGATAAATGTTCATGGCTGCATTTCATTTAATTGCCAATACTTGCTGTAGGTAATTCATAATCAGGAGAGATTCAGTTTATTTGAAAGAAACATTTGTTACCTCCTGCATAGCAGTTTTCCCTCGAGCATACATTCTGTAGTCATTTTTGTCCACTGGTTTTGCGAGTACAACTTCAAGGAGTGATCCTTCTAAACTGCTCCCTTTTGATTAAAAACAAAAGTTGCACATTTAATCGATTACATTAAATATTAATGAACATATTTTTGTACATATCTACAACAGTATTTTTTCTTAAGAACTTATAAAGTACAGTACATAGTTATGTAGCTAACAACAGTCTTTACCAATCATGTTGCTATAATTTGTGTTGGCCATATACAAATATTAGATTTGTGGAGAAAAGAGAAATCTTACATAATAGCATAATTGCAATGGACAATAAGCATGAACTGTATCTTGTTTAAGTACATTTACACAACAAGTTTGATCTCAATTGATCATCTTTCAACTTAATTAAGGAATCAACACATGGCGGCTTTACCATTTGTTGCCTTTATGGCCTTCAGAGCATCCCCCCTCTCCTTGAAATGCACAAATGCATAGTCTCGCATTTTCTTCACCCTCTCAATGCTGTTCTCGTTTCCACAAGCTTTGGAAAAAAACTGTTGAATAGTCTCCTCTGTAGTGTTCAGCATGAGGTTCCTTACATATAGAATCCGAACCTAGAAATTTAGAAAATTAAATAAGCAATGATTTGTTAAGCAACTTTTTTGTCTTTATTTTCCATCAGTGTCCTTTTTTTAAGTATATCAACAAGGAACAGAAAACAAGTATAGGTAATATGACCAAAAGAAATACCAGGCAAGATCCCAGCTGTAGCAATGGTGTGTGCAGCTGCTATACACATTATTGTCTATTTATATGTGCAACTATGCACTTGCCATGTATCCCCACAGCACATAGGAAAATCCCTGGTATAAAGGGAAGGGTGGATTGTGTTTCTAAAGTAATAAAAGAAATGAAGAAAATCCTGCATCTAGGTCTCTTGTTCATCGAAACGTGCAAGACTCCGACCAAAGCAAAGGGACATAAATGCAAAACAAAACAAACTAAAAGAAAAAGCTATTTTAGAAAATGAAAGGTTCTCTATGGAACAATTGTATGTGTATACTGTCAATCATCAGCGACCAGGTAGCCCTACTGATCGATTGTCCATAGAGTTTGGAGGGTCTTGGGTTCAAAACCCATGCATATTTATATCATGTCGGACAACTGTTATATAAATTGTTGAATAACATTTTCTCCCACCCTTCACAGGTGTGTCTCCTGTTTTAGCCGAGAAAGATCAGCTTGTCACCCCATAGGGGGAGATAATCTCGTGCCAATTAGCATGTGTGAATTGTGACGTTGTTAAAATGCGTCATCGGTAATTGTGACGTCATCAAAAAGTGAATGACGATATGCATACCCCACATGTGTTTTTGTTTACAAACATGTCAGATTACTGTTGGTGGAGCTGTGACTGAAATAATAGGATGGGAGAAAAATAATCATCCCCTGCCTAGAGGGTGTCCGTGTGTAACACAGAAATCTCCAACCCTCGGGTGACTTTTTTGGTTGTCTTACCCTCGGCAAAGCCTCAGGTTAGACAACCAAAAAACATCACCCCTCGGGTTGGAATTTTCTCTGTCACACAATAGGTGGTGGGCACGTCTATCAGTTATTATTTTTAATAGATAAGTCTTATCTATTAAAAAAAAAAAATGATAGACGTGCCCACCACCTATGGTCACACCCTCAAGGTAGGGGAAGATTCTATTAATCCATGTCATGTTCCTGCTTGCAAACCCTTGATGTGTGATCCATCATCCAGGGGTAGGGGAACAAACTCTTGTTTTAATACTGTTTTTGAAACTGCAGTAACAAAATTACAATGAATATTTTTGGAGGCTACAATGATATTCAAACCTCTGTTATGATATATGCTAAAACCTTGTAACACATTAATCAACTTGTGAAATCATACATCAAGCTATATATACTGTAACATTTCTCTCACTTTTAAAGAGAACCCCTTTCAGTTTATGAAAAAGCAAAATATATCATAAAATCAACTCATCTAACATTCAATTCATACTGAAATGTTCGGTCTTATACCACTGTTGCAACGATCGAATGTCAGATTGAAATGTTTTGGTTTAAATATTTTGTATAATTAGAGACTGATTGATAATCTTACGATAACAACAGTTGTTATTAGTAAATGATACTAACTTTTGACATCGTGTCTTCATCAACATCCTGTTCTGGTTCAGCCCAGTCCACTGCTATCTGATGTCCCCAGAGTTGAATCCGTCCTGGAATAAGCTTTCTCCTTGCCATAGCTGCTGCTCTGTGGCTCTCGTACTCCACAAATGCAAATCCCCTATTTTTCGTTTTGTCAACGACACTTGGATACACAATCACGTCTGTAACTCCCTCCGTTACCTTTTTCATTTCTTGGAGAATTTCTTCTCTACCTTTGGTTTTAGGAATACCCCCAACGAACAATCTGCAGTTGTCCACCGAAATACATACACCTAGCAGACGACCTTTTCTAACTTCGAAGTTATTCATTTCACGAACACATTTCTGTGCATCACTTCTGTTTGTGAACATAACAAAGGCGTAACCTCTGTTGCTTCCTGAAAAATCCATCATTAATCTCAACTCATATATTTTACCGATCTTTTCGAATACAGGCACAAGTTCATCTTCATAGCAATCGCGGGGAATTTTACCCACAAAAACTTCACATCCCCGCGAAGGTGCCTGTCCTTCCCATTTTGGTGGGGGTCCATATTTCCTCTGGCCATTCTCTTGCATCATTGGATATCCCGTCTTCTCCATTAATTTCAACAAGTTAGCCTCATTTGGGGCACCAACAAATCCCTGTTTTTCTTCCATGATTCGTGTCGTTGTTACTTATGCTCTTCTATCGCCATATGCTTTACCGGATTATAGCAGACGGTCCTGTTATCTGACCAAGGGTTGAAAGGTTGACAGCACATGCGCGCAAGGTACCCCGTCATCTCACGTGCTAGATAACAGTACACAAGCTTTCCCGTGGTTGGTTGAAAATTCGCACACGTGACAACAAGTGATAGTCGGCATTAAGATCAAAGCAAACACTTACCTGTAGATTTATGATAGTTAGCTAAACTTAGTTTACGATTCGGTCTTATCGGTGTAGCAGGGCAAGCCACGATGTATTTTTTTTCCGATATTGATTTCCTATTTTAGCTAGCATGTAGAAACAGTAAAAAAGTCGATTTAGATCAGCCCTAAGCTATCTAAGAATTTAAAAATCAGTCTTTTTTTTTTGCTAATTAACAATGTTCGTCCGAGATAAAATTTATGCAAACATTTTCACTATTCGATTCTAAAATAGCTGCACTTATTAGTCAAAACAAACAATTGGAAAAAAAACGTGGAGCGTCTGCCCTATATAATCTTGTCAAATCGTCCCCTTACACAATAGTGTACTCCCTCCTAAACTTTTACAGAGCTGTTAACACCAGTATAAATTACCTGTACTAAGGATAATACTGTGTTTGTTTATTCTCAAATAAAATGACAGATAGCAAATGGTCCTAAACGGCTAATAAAAATAGTGTCCTATGAGTAACACAGAGGATTGGATTCCATCCAGACACTCACGCTGAACCCATCCCAGTGTTTGACCCAGTTAACACAGCCAATATTGACCGTGACGTTTGATCAACATGGACGAGTTTTATGTGATCGCTTTGTATACATACCTAGGCACAGAATTAGGCAGATCACTGTCAGTGTCGTTGTGTTATCTTATTATTTGTAACTGATATACGTTATCCGGGTAAAATGCAGACTAGTTAGGCTTACACGGACATATTTATTTAAAACCAATCTCAGATATTAAAGTTAATTAACATTCTTTACTTTTAAGTACTAATATATTAAGTATTCTCTCATCAGTGTTAAACAATTAGCAATCCCACATATCAGATCAGATCATGTACAAATCATTTTCACCGACCCTTGTAACTTAATTATTGAAAACGAAACCAAAAAAACAAACAAATACTAACATATAAGAAAAAAATATGCGCTATGAATGCCTAAACAGGAAATATTGAATTCACCCAATGGTCTGTCTAGCATAATGATCTGACATTAAAATCTGGCGTTTAAATTATACAAGATGTTCACATATGGCACAAATGTGCTATATGAGAAACGGGTTTTCCCGTTTATAAAAAAATATCCAACACTTAATTAATAGTACAGAGACCAACTTTATGAGGTTTATTTTGATCCTTTAAATTAAAAAACGATATCAAATCGTCTTAAAAAAATGCCCTGGACTTAAAAGAGGTCAAACAATAAAAAAAAATGTGAAATTTCAATTGTTTCTTGCAACATTTTTTTTTTTGTGTAAAAAATATATTATACCCCATTGAAGAAGCACGGGTGTTCCGGAAACTGTCAGTTCCTCTAGGCTAACCTTACGTTATGGGTTCGAACCCAATTTTACATTTTCACGTGGTATGCCTGTATATTTGCATAATTGGTATATATGATTCTTCTTTTTACCATTTTTAATCAAAGACATGCAATAATTATGACAGTAATGTGTATGTTCATTGTTGCATGAAGTATATGTGATCAAGACCCATTTACTGTTGCATGCAGAAAAAACTGGTTGTTGTAAGTTAAGGTGTGCTACATAATTATTATACAGCAAAAATGTAGATATAATATCAATAACAACACATTTCTTATAATTTATTTTGTCCAAAATAAATCTAGAAACAATTTATACGTCTGGTTAGCCTTTGGCACGTATCCTCGTACGTTTATTTTTCCAGTTGACAGTTCATGGTCATTTTAATAAGATGCATTGGAAAATTTACACGTTTATCATGTATATGAATGTATCAGTTTGACCCGTCTAGATTTAGAAGAGGGTAAGGGAGGGGGAGGGGGAGGGGGAGGGGGTGTACCTGTTCACGCGTCACATTGTAAGGTACAACCAAGGGACGTGCTATGGCATTGGGGAAATTAGTATAGGATCCCGCCTATATACCGTTGAACAAATATTGAATAAACTACACCCCTACAAATCATTGCAGTGCTTGTTCTAAGTTACAAGAGTCTTGTATCAGTGTTAGAATAAATACGATATATAAACATTAGATACTCAACGAGATATAAAATATCATTATATGTATAGATGATCAGCATTTTACTTGCACAACCATTTAATAAAAAAGAAAATCTCACTTTTTACATTTTGTTACAAACAAAAAAGTCCCATGGGCTCGTAATGTAGCTGGTTTTTTTTTATATTTCTTTCTGTTGTGAACACATGAACTGGAAATAATCATGTCTACCAAACATGTAGTACATATAATTCAATTATGGCAACTGTGAATTCGCAAACAAAATAATGTTGGAACATGGTCAACATATAAAGTATATATATATATATATAGCAGGTGTTCCCCGGGAAACCAGCATAGCGGGTATGAAATGTTGATTGTTATTGATTACAACATAACTCCAAAGCCTTGTGTTCCTATGCACGAGGAACAAGTGTTCAGTTATGTTAATTTATTTTCACTTCCGTGACCACTAATACAGGTGAAATTTAGTATTTCAACATTCGGGAGTCCTTCATTTGAGCAAGCCGCCATCCTCGATAATCAGGAGTTACGCTCACTTTCGCTCTCTGCAACCCTGGAATATGTCATGACAAAATTGAAGGCACGAAGATAGCTGTTTGATTGGTAACCTGACCAATCGCTAGGCTGATACCTCTCATTTGAAGAAAGCCTGTCAATTTTTACCGTTACATGACCGCGATATTCTTTTGATGTACATCAAAGGATCGAACTAGTCTTCTTGTCTCATCAACAAGGTGGCGCACACCGAGTCTTCACTTTTGCCATGAACTACATGTATTCCAGGGGTGTAGAGAGCGAAAGTGAGCGTAATCCCTGAATATCGAGGATGGCTAGCCGCTGGCTAATGACTATCTCGTGATGTAACCATGTGATCTTGAATACAGGTCAAGGTAATTTACATAAACAAGTTTGATAGCCCTTCGTCACATCAGTTATATACAGACCACATATCATAATTCTAGGTCTAACACTTTTTTAAGAAGCAGCGGATTTGACCCTTGTGACGTTACTTAATTGTCAAGGTCACTTACTAAAACAAAATTAATAGTTCATCAACCCATGAAGCTACAAGCCAATTATCTTTTCTCAAAACCTTTATAACCTTTAAAAGAAACCATTTGAATGTTTAAATCTACTTGATCCTGGGCGACATTGAAAGAAAATCAATGCCGTTCGTTTGAATATAATTGTCCTTTATCCTTGCAGACTTCACTCATGACCATGGACCTTTTGGTTATTCAGAAAAAAAGTTTCATGGGGGATTTAACTCGCATGACATTGAAATTTCGTGAAGATCATTCATTCGAACAAAACTGAAAACTCCACCCAGCCTGCTACTGACTAAATATCATGGCCCTAAAGTTGTTTGAATTTTTGAACATATTTGACATGTAAAGTGGAACATGAAACTTGGATAAAAATCTTTCATTTGGACAAACTTGATTGCCATTTAGACCAACATGTTACTAGCCATATATATGCAAAAGAAGTGCCTTTAAGATTTGAGCATGTGACCTTGAAAGTGGTCAATACCATTCATATGAATAAAATGTGTACATGTAGTCCTTTACTCAAGCCTGCTACAATTCAAATAGCCAGATTCGGACACATTTGGCCGTGGACAATGGCGACGTTGAAAGTGTGTCAGGGACATTTTAACAAACTTGATAGCCCTTAACCCCAGCACACTACTAATTAGGGTCAAGTATTTGAATAAATTTGACCCTAATTAGTAGTTACATTGAAAGCGTGCCAAGGTCATATATTAATAATTTAATAAAACCTTGATTTCTTTTACAAAAACTAATTACAACTGGATAGGGTGTGTGTGTGGAGGAAACCAGAGTAACAGAGAAAACCCACGTCGGGAGGTGACCCATACCTTTTCACGTCCGTTAGGGTAATCGAACTCCGGTCGCCTTGGTGAAAGGTGAGTGTGTTATCCACTGCGCCACCCGACCCTCCAGTATTTCGGTAAGGATCATCTCCTTTCGAACCATGTTTTTCAAATCATGTGGGGGCCGTATCTAATCTAATTCCGTGGTACCATATGAATTTTACGATATGCGAATTAAATATTTCACTTATATTTCATCTATCGCTCCCCCTCTCATACAACGACCTCAGGTTTATACGATATTGAATCTCCCATGGTCAAATGATGATCCAAACCCAATAAGGTTAAACCCCTTTACCCCGACTCAATTAGTAGGCTTTCTTAAAGATTTTCTCTTTCCCTCCTGGGTCCAAACAATCTGCTACCACGGGGGAAACACCCTCCGTTTATGCATTGGCCCAATTAAGTTTGCTCCATACCTAACTTCGAGTTAAGATCCATTTTTACCCATACTCAAGGAGTGGGATTTTTATAATTTACCTTTATTATCCCTAATGAGCCCCACCAAGTGGTCTTCACGGGGACACATCCTTCAATTACAAAACTTAAATTGAAACCCCTCGGTCCAATGATATATGATATTGCTGTAATTATTTTGACCCCGATATCTATTTCCCCTCTCCCTCCTATTTCCATTGGGAAATACATCTGTATACTGAAATTCAGGAGATAAAATTAATTTGATTAATGTATGCTTGCATATATGACACGGTTATGATATCAGAAACAGCCGAGGGACTCCAAGAAATGTGAAACTCTTTAGGAGAATAACATCATCCAATGTTAGGGGATAATGGAGTTAAATTACCTTGGGGTTTTATTCAATTACAGTGGAAAACTAAAATAAACGCAAAAAAGATATCGGGATTCCACGTATACATACACTGCTCCAGATATTGAAAACAATTAAAATTCATGTTATCTTTTGTAAGCATGTACTTGGTGTATGGAAATTATTATGATAAATATGATATTTTTCTATCTTAGAAGACACCCATTGTGCGCCATAAATTCATAATTTTAAGAAAATTGTAGATTGAAGTCATACTATTGAATATGTAAGAAACTGAATAGAATATATCTGTGTTATGTTATTGTTGAACGTCGATCGGAAGCTTGAGCTTGTGAAGACGTCTAAATATCCTCTTCTGACTTGATACGTTGCTAGCAGTATAGCCTGCCATCAACGGACTGCGGTTGCGCAGAGATTAAAACTATAAACTATTTACAATGTATCAAGCTATTTAACTATATCTTATTGTGAATACTTGTTTATTATGATGATAATTTATATATGATTTAAAATATTTATGTATATACCCTCAATTATACTATAAGGAGTAACTAACATTTTAATGGTAATATGTTTATTACTATTTCTTTTCTTTTAATGTTAGAGATCCCATGTGAATCATTAATGATACAAGGAAGGGCAGAACTTCCTGGGGCGATTCCTCCACAGTGTGTTTAAGTTTGACTTGAACTCGTTTGGTGTTTTTGACGACACAGTTTCCTCAGGTAGACAGTTCCAGACCTTGATCACTCGATCGGTTACTAAAGACTTTCGTACTAGTGTTAAGCTTGAAAGGTTTCTTGAATAATTTTTTAAGAGTGACCTCTAGTGGTACTAAGTGGTGTAGGACGAAACATCAGTCCGTAGTCTAAATGGTCGATCCCGTTCAATGTTATACAACTCAACCACATCTGCCCTCTCACGCCTGTATTTCAGAGATGGTAAGCCTAATGTTCTTTGGCGTTCATGGTAGGGCATATTCTGTATTTCTAGTACTCTTTTGGTGGCTCTTCGTTGGACATTTTCGATAGCTATTTTGTCCTTGTTTAGATACGGTGACCACACTTGCGTAGCGTATTCCAAATGTGGACGGATAAGGGACCTGTACAGGGTTGTAAACAAAGCTATATCCATAAAAATGAAAGTTCGTAACAGTAAAACTTTTCGACACTGCCGCATTGACTTGGGTTGAGAATTTTAGGGTGTTGTCAAAGTGAACTCCGTGGTCCTTTGCTGTGTCTACTTTCTCTATTTCGGTTGTTTGTCCATTTTGCGTCAAATCGTATTTTGATGATTTGGGGTTGTTACCAATCTCCATATGTTCGCACTTCTTGGTGTTTAGCTTCATGAGCCAGCTGTCGGTCCAATTACATATTTTGTTGATGTTTATTTGGAGTTGTTGTCTTTCTAATTCTGTTCGTGTTTTTGAATAGAGTTTGGTATCGTCCGCAAATAATTTGGTTATACAGCTGGGATGTTCAGGCATGTCATTGACGTAGATCAAGAATAGTATCGGACCAAGGACGCTTGCCTGGGGAACTCCATTTGTGACTGGAAGACTTGAGGATTTTGCTCCGTTGATTGTAACTCGCTGGGTCAAGTCTTTTAGGAATTCCTTAGTTCAAGCCTAAATTTTACCTCTGATACCATTTTGATATAGTTTATATAATAGCAAGCGGTGCGACACTTTGTCAAAAGCTTTGCTGAAGTCGAGGTATATGATGTCCACATTGTTCCCATCATCTAATGCCTGTGTCCAGTCTTCGATGACCTCTGGTAGTTGAGTGGTACAGGAGCGGTTCTTGTCCATGTGTTTTCAGATAGCATTTCGGACTATGCGTTGTAGAATCTTACATGGAACTGACGTCAAACTGATAGGTCTGTAGTTTCCTGGGTCACTTTTAGCGCCTTTCTTAAATATTGGTGAGACGTGAGCCCGTTTCCACGAATCTGGTAGGGTTCCTTCTTGGATGGACCTGTTAAAGATGATTGTTAGGGGTTCTTTTAATGTTTCTATTGTTTTTGAGACGAAATTTGGATGGATGTTATCTGGGCCAGGAAATTTGTTAATGGATTGGTTTTCTTAGTTGCTGCTAACACAAGGTTTTCTGTCACTGATAGGTCGGTAAGCACGCTATCGTATGGTCTTTCCTCAAACTCAGGCAAAACTTCTTCGCTGTCGTCAACACATACACTAGCAAAGAAAATGTTCATAACGTTGGCCGTCTCCAAGTCTGGGGTGGTCATTTTTCCTTTATCATTTTTGACTCTGGTGATGGACGTTGCTGTTTTTGTTTTAGTTCTAACATATTTCCAGAACGGCTTTGGGTTTGTTTTGATGTTGTCCGCCATTTCAGAGGTATATTTTGATCTTCTAATTAGATGGACGCTTCGATTTCTCTCAGTCTTGTATTTTCTGAAGTTTTCTGGGGTTTTGCAGTGAAGATATTTTTGCCAAAGTTGACCTTTTTTCTTAATAGAGTCTCTTGAAGCTTTGTCGATGTTGATTTTCCTTATTCGGGAGGGATCGGGAGTTATTCCTCACTGGTACATGCTTCTCTATTTCTTTAGTGATAATTACAGAAAATGTCTCTAATGCCTCCTTGACGTCGGAACATCTAGCAAGTTCATGAGAATCCATTTGTTTGAGGTCCTCATTGATTTCTTCATAGTCTCCTCTGTGAAAAATATGTTTCATGGGTGCCCGAATTTGTTCTGCTCGCGGAATTTGACTGTATAGCAGATAAAGTCGTAGGTTAGTACAGAATGGTCGCTATTCCCTAGTCCATGATGATAATTAAGATTTTCAACCATTACCTCTTCATTAGAAAGGATTAGATCCAGTGTTGGTTGTGTTTGTCCTTCTCTGTATCTGGTAGTTTCTGTGACATGTTTTGGAACAAGAAGTTGTCCCTTATGCACTCTAGAAAGAGAGTTGCTGGATGCGACTCACTAACGTTAGTTGTGTAATGGTTCCAGTTTATCTCCTTGTAGTTAATTATACAAAATCCCCTAAGATAAGTATGTGTGAGATTAGTACGTTAGTTTAAACATATTTTATTGTACAAATATACAAATGGATCGGACAACAAGTTATTAAAACTTAATAGAGTCCTCTCCTCAATACATATTGTAAAAAAAAGTGTATATGTTTATGGGGAAAGGGAAAAGATAGGTTGAGGAAGGAACTGTGGGGTGGGAGGGGGTGGGGTGATGGAGGGGAGGGGTGTTACCTAGAAAATTAAACTTGGAAACTGAGAAATTGATCCGCATTTGAAACAATTATAAATTATACAGATTTCATGACATGCAACCTGGTAGAGTAATTTCAAAACGAACAGAATCAATGTAACAAATAAATCAGGCAAAATAATGAAATACAATTACACATATAACAACTTAAATAAGAATAGAAAATTAATTATTACTATCAAAACCTATTGCTGGATTTGATGTAATGATGCACATGTCTGAAGATACTTATGTTGTTTTCTACCGAAAGTTGACTATTTCCAAACAAAAGTAGTTCTAAATTAAAATCAACATGCAAGGCATTCAAATTTAGGAGCAGGGTATGTCTTTCGTTGTTAAAAAGTAAGCACTCACAAAAAAAGAGAAAGGCATTTTCACAGGGATGGCCACAATAACAAACTGGACTATCGACCAGATTTACTCTAAAAAGATCATAGTTAAGTGGACTACACTGATGTCTAAGTTTAGTATGCAAAATGTTCAATTTACGTTCTCCGAAACCTAAGTAAATTGGTGGAGGAGATTGTACATTTGAAGTTAATGAGTTTTTAAAAGAATGTAATGAGGGCAATGATCGTACTGAAAGGTCCAATGAATTCCAACCGCGAAGAGTTGAAGGTATAAAAGATGAATTTGTTAGAGAAAGCCTGAAAGGACGAATTCTATAATCATCATTGTTTATAAGGGTATAACGGTTAATTTCTGCAACGGAAGCTGGCAATAGAGAATTTAAATAGTCTGGAGTTAATTTGTTGTGCATTTTATACAAAAGTTGGAGTTTTCTGCGTTTTCTTCTATTCGAAAGAGTTTCTAGACCAGTTTCAAAAAGAAAGTCTTCAATTCGTGCATATGAAGGAAGGCCAGTTATAATACGAAACGCTTCTCTTTGGGCTTTCTCTAACATTTCTGTTTCATAATTTGTACAACCATCCCACAATTCACAAGCATATTCTAAAACTGGTAAAATAAATGATTTATAAATCTTTAAAAGATTATCACGATTTAATAAGTATTTTAGTCTACGTAAGACGTTGACTTTTTTCATAACTGAAGTATAATATTGCACAAATATGATCACCCCATTTTGCACTTGAATTAAAAATTACACCTAAATGTTTATGATGTTCAGTAAAATTTAAAAATTCGCCATTAAATTCTAATTGTAAATCTTCATCAATTTCAACCAAGTTTGAAACAAAAATTACCTCAGTTTTTTCTGGATTGAATGTTACTAACCAAGTTTGGGACCATGCATTAAGAGACGATTAGTACGTTGGTGACATAAGTTTTTTAAGACTTGGTGAAGGTGCACGTGGTTGTTATTTTCTACCGATCTGTTTGGCTTCTGTAGATACAATATATATAGCAAGTTTGTCTCTGCCCTTTAGGTTTAGTAACAGGATACTTGTTCTTCAAAGGGTCCTGTTTGCTGTAGAGAGTCACAATCAATAGTGGTGATTACATATATGATCACACCTCTTTTCCTCAGTATGGTGTCCCATAAATTGGTTGTAGTTTTGTATATATGGAAAGAGTCAAACATCAATATTGAAATTTTAAGCAGGAATATTTCGAAAAATACGCCGTTAATCGACAGACAATGGATAACATAGGGTCCTATCCTAAATTGATACATAATTATTTTAATGTATGAAGGGAGACAACTTTGACTTAACCTGAAGAATACTAGCGTTGTCACCCAACATTGAAGCAAGGCGTAAACCTTTGTCGTTAATATGTTTTGTGTCCCATGCTGGAAAATTCGGGAAAATCCACAGTCTTCGAGAGAATTCTTCAGGTCTTTATAATCAGGCATACAAAATACCAGTCTTATTTTATAAATCTTTTTTGAGTTATTGAAGTCTTAGTCGAAACGTGTCAATTAGAAGCATGAGCGCTAGCGGAGGCGGAGATGACCAAAGAGAGTCTCGAGTTCCCAGGGATATGCAGGGGCTGGTGAAGTTCTGTATCGAGCAAGGGGCTGAGTGTGACAATCCCGAGGGGATGCTCAGCCAAATGACAGCAGAGGTAGGCCTAAAACTCAGTCACAAGAAGATAAAAATATGGGGTTTCTGAAAGGAGCATATCGAAATTGAACCTGTCAAATTCGTCGTGAGAAAGGTTTTGCGTAATACTATTTCAATAATGTCAAACCAGTATTCTACAAACTATGTATTTTAAGAAACATCATGATCACTCAATATTGAATTCATCGGCGAGCAAAATCTTACCTAGCGGCAGAGACGTATATAACACACGTGTTATATACTCTCTGCTAGCGGTCAACAATCAGATGGCACTGTGATAAGCATTTGTGTTGATTTTGCGTTGAGCAAGATGAATCCAAATTTGTGAAAGGGCTTAAGAAAATATGTGATGCCATGGTCCAAGATCATCACCACGTGGTTTTGTCGCTGGCATCTTGATAGGTAAGGTTATCTATCTGAATACTGCAACGCCCTCTTTCGAGTGCTATGTGTTATCTGTGTTGATGCTAAAAGTATATTGTGTTAGGTGTTTAAAGTGTATGTGTCGGATATCAATCATTAATGTTAAATGTGTAACAGGAGAGGAAAAATGCACGGCCAGACCGTGGTTCGAAACCAAGACCTTCCGAACTCTAGACGGAGGCTCTACCAATTGAGCTATATATGGTGGCCGACGATCGACCCAGTCCACTTCTGCTACAAATGTTTACCGCTCTGAATATTAAAACATACAATACCATCAATAAACATAACTTAAGTTTCAATACTCATTTGTGTGTGTTTTATAATATCATGTATTCACTTAAATTAAGCAACCAGCTGTCAGAGCTTTTGTATAATTGCTTAAAATGAAAGTTGATAAGCAAAAATCAAAATAAAATTTAAAAAAAATGCTAGATTTATATTTATGATACTGTTAAAAATCTCAGAACAGTATTATAGTGTGACGGGAAGTTATTAATATAATTCCTTACTTTGAATCTTCACTTTCAGAGACGGGAATGGCTAGAGTCAGCTCTTAGTAATATGACCACTAATCCTGTTACGAGGATGAAAGAGGGACTTATCAAGATGAATCAACCTGATGACGAAGACAACGAAAATTTGACAGATGAAAAAATAGCTGCTATTGAGGAGATTATGGAATGGTGTGAAAACATTGATTTAGCAATAGGTAAGATAAAGGAATCACAATATACTGAAGATATACGAAGGATAAAGGAATAATTATACTATTAATAATAATTTGAGGTTCTTATAAACCACTTTATCACAACCTAGTTCGTAGGTCGTCTCAAAGCGGTTCACAAATTATTATCCGTGGTTATAGGGCCTTTGCAACCAGCCAATATCTTTCTCAAGTCCCTGGGGAGCAAACAGCCGGTGCTGCCATTTCGGCACGCACAGCTAGCATTCAACAATTCTAGCACTGCCCCAACCATTTACTCATTTACAGCTGAGTAAACTCGCTAGACTGGAAAAATCGGAGTAAAGTATCTTGCTCAAAGATACAACACCGTGCCGTGGCGTGACTTGAAACCGCAACCCTTCTGTCACAAGCCTGGTGTCCTTCCAGTGGACTACCGCGCCTCCAAACCAGGTGATTCAGAATCATTTTCATTAAAAAAAATAATGTAAAGTTTATAAGTTCTTTCTAAACCCATAGTATTGTGTTTGGATAGGTCTGTAGAACCAGGCTTTCAAGTTCAACTTCATCAACGATTGTGCACTGTTGTGCATCTTTAAAAAAAAAAAATGAAGTCCCGTCTATCATATTTTTTTGTAAAAAGATATATATTTTTATTGATGAATTATTTATTTATTTGCAGATTTTCACAAAATTGGAGGGTATGAAGTATTGGCAAAGCAGTTCGACCACAGTGAGCCCGAGGTTAGGTGGAATGCATTAGAGCTTCTCGGTATCCTAGTACAGAATAATCCCTACTGTCAGGAGGCAGCAATTAAACATGGGTTACTTCCCCTTGCACTACAGATTATAGATAATGACAACAACGCCACTGTCCGCACGAAGGCACTCTACGCCATCTCTTGTAAGATTTTCACTCGTATTATAATACATGTAATAAACAAGACATATAAATGAGAGATTGGCACAGTATCATTAAAAGATAAATATTCATACAGAATGGTGAAGTAAAAGTTTTGAGAACGTCAGTATTGCATAGGAGTTACTTTGACACTTCTGTTTAATATTTACCTGTTCAGTGCATTGATGCTGATTTACTGTAAAAAAAATAAGAACATCTTTCCATTTTAATTTTGAATTTGTTTAGATTTAATATCCTTATTGTAAAAATCAAACAGTCATTTAATGTCATTTGTGGATACATATTGACAATTAATACGCCAATATAACAAATATAGGTCACTGTGACCTACAGAAAATGTATTTTCCTCGATTTGACATGAAATGGCATGGGGTCACCTGTCTGACTACAAGGCTTTCTTTTGGTACTCGCACCAAGTCGGCCAAGGTTTGATTCCTGATTTGACATGAAATGGTATGGGGTCACCTGTCTGACCACAAGGCTTTCTTTTGTTACTCCGGTTTTATCCCACGTTAAGATCCCTGCTTGATTATAATCCGGCCAACAAGAAGGATTAAGATGATAGAACTTGTTTCACAATTGTTGAAAAATAAATAAAGTTCAATTTAAAAAAACAACGTTTTCTCTGGTTTGTAGGTTTGTGCAGAGACGTACCTGATGCCCAGAAGGTGTTTGTTGAAAAGGACGGCTTCTCTGTTATAATGAGAGCTATGCAGACTGATGTGGAAAAACTGAAAATCAAAGCAGCATTCATGCTGAGTAGCATGTGTAATGAAAAACCAGAATTTAAAGGTAAGTTATCCTAGGTATATACATCATAATGTCGGACAAAATAGCAAAATGGTACCATGCTTTAACCCTTTCACCCCTGGAGACCATACTGGACTCATCCAGATCAATGTATGGTAGAGTCTACTAAAGCTACTTAGGGGTGATAGGGTTAATAGTACAGTGCTCTCTATAGGTTTTTCAAATTTTAACAAAACTTAAGTAGAATCATATATCAATTTTGAAAATGTAAGGTGGAACATTGGTGTTTTATTTTCTGTTCGCAATGCAAGTTTTGAAGGAGAATTTGTTAATTTTTCTTCGTTTATAGTTAGAGATACAATGTACTTTTATATTGACTGAAAAGACACTGTTTTGACCATATACAAAAACATATGCATATGCTTGATAATCAGCACCAGTGGTTTTTTTTGACATTGCTGTGGCCATAAGTCCAGATAAATTTGTACTTCATAGTAAACACTGAAAAAGTTCACTAGCGCTTGCATAAAGTCTACTGGTGTTGGGGTAGTGAAATTGTCCACCCCCTGTACATGTACACATATGTTCATGCACCTAACCCATTTATGTCCATGTAATAACACAATAGCTGACTGTCTACCATGTGAAATGAAGTTGTGTGATAATACCTTTATTAAATACAAAATGTACCTATTATTAATCTTTAAATGCATGCGATTATGTCAGCGAAAGATTTTCAGGATAATTTTGAGATTTGCTTCCAAGTATAGAGTAAGGTGACAGAATAATGATGTCACTTTTGTATCTATGGCATGAAGAAATGCAAAATCATGGAAGTTTTAATAGTGGGTATTTATCAAGAAAGAATACTGATATAGAGTTAGCCTGTTATCTTATCCTTTTGTCAATAAGTGTACTTCAATCTTAACTCTGTTCTTTCTCTTTTAAAAATATTTTTTTTTGTAACTGAAAATACAAGAAAGTTTAGCCATATCTGACAAATGGTTTTCAATAAATGTTATTGTTTTCCCGACAGATATAATGTGTGATATAGGTATGATCGACCAGCTAGTAGGACATCTACAGGAAGAGCATGGCGCTTTCCATGAACACATGATGTCTGCCCTGCTGACTATCGTACGTGATCACCCGCGGGCGTATGAGGAATGTCATCGACACGAACTCAATCTCATCAGTACTCTAAATAACAGGACAGAGTTCCTGAAAGGGAAGGAAGAGTTCCAGGTGGGTATTACCGTGATAATTTATTAACTCATTCACCCCTGAAATATCATATTGAACTATTCCAACCTTTGAATTGGAAGAGTTCAAATGTGTCCTCAGGGGTGAAAGAGTTAAATACATTGAAAATATTTGGAACATCTTATATAACCTTTGAGAAATAATTTGTCAAATGATGAATTTAATATAATATTTGCAAACAGTAATAACTTATTGAACATGTACATTCCCTGAACAAATCAAAAATAAAATAACAAACATTAATTTGATAAATGGTGTAAATCAATCAGATATTTTTTGTAAAAGTATCCAAAAGTTGAATAATTTAAAGACAAAGAAGTGGATATTTGTATTAAAGTGTTTTTTTGCCAGTACACCATAATGTATAAAATAAGTACATGTATTTTGAGCTACGTTTAAGTACAATGGTGATCAATTTTTTTGTACTAAAATATGCATTGTTATAAATATTATAATAAAATGTTCAAATTAGTGAAAATTACAGTATTTTTTATTAAACAATTACTGATAAATGCCCAGTGATCAAACAGAGTAAATGTAGTCAATATGATTTTATTTCCAGGAGGAACTAGAATATGCAACAGAGCTGCTTAGGTTATTAGAGGATCCAGACACCTCAGACGTGGCTAGATGACCACATCAAGGCTACATAAGGCAGTAGTGGACTTCAGGTCTGCCCATTAGACCAGTACTCTCACGCTTGAGATGGCCGAGTATGCACAGACACGCTTCAGTGATTATACCAGTAGCATGTGGTTGTATTGTTGTATAATTCCTGGAACAAAGTCATCCATGGGTCATCGAACGAAGTTTAAAGTGGATTGACAATACAAATGTCTTCACTACGTAACATCTTTTGTGCAGACGCTTTTGTTTTCGAAGAAATTTCCTCAAATTTTCAAGGCTTGTCTGTGATGATTTGGGGGAAAAAATGTTGTTTAAAATTTTTGGATAAATAGGACAATATATGGGATGAAAGTCAATGCACGGCAAATGTATTGACACACTAAAAGCAATATTTATAATGTATGCAAAATTTTGTTTATTATAGTGACTATTTGATCAAATTGTATGCTAACTAGCGATGTACCATTATGTCAGTATATTGCGATTCAAGACTGTATCAGTATTGTATTGTTATAAGATGTTCTGGATAAATTATCAGGGATAACATCATTTTGAGGGCATTAGGAAAATAATTAATAAACGATGAAATCAGTTATCAATTTATCTTGGTGCTTAATTGTTAAAGCCTACTGTAAGTGTGGCAATTATGTACTCAATTTTTCACTTGATATTTAATCACAGTTGTGAAAATATGATATCTGACTTTGTTTATTCATATCTTAGCTACATGTTTATTGTTTACACGCTGGAATCTCACTTACAGAAGTTTCAATTTGACTTCTGTAGGTCTGATATCATTAAAATGAAGGAAGTATATCACTTATGAAGAGTTGTTTGTATTTTAGATATGGTCATTATTTGGCTTAAAGCTGACAGTGCAAGTTAAAAAGCTTTCAATGGAAATTAAAAAAGTTCTTGTTTTGAGATCTTCCCCAGTGACGAAGAAGCGACATTTCAGAATGTACTTGCTTGGTAAAGAGAATGGGTCTTGCTGGATATAAAAAGCGCATTACCCGTCAAACTGGTTATCATTCTACAACTGACCGTCTTGCGATTCAGTGCACCGCGTACCCTGATCGGCAACCAAAAAATGTTTTTTTCAATCTCAATTAAAAGCTTTTTAACTTACACTGTCAGCAAAATCAGTCATATTGGTTGGTCTGTTATAAATGATATCTCCTCCCCAGATACTTGGCAGGTTTCCAATGGTAATGATGAAATACTGATACCATTAAGATCATAGTTCCACAAATGATGGGGCTGACCTTCCTGGGCGAAAAAAAGCAAAACTAGCAGATTTGATTTAATCATAATTCCACAATTATGGGACAGATTTCAACCAAACTCTGGCATGCTTAGTCAATGAAATGAATTCCTTTGGTATCATTTATTAGCTCACCTTGTACACAGGTCAGGCTAAATGTGGTGGTGGTTTGTCCATCATCTGTTGCTCATCGTCTGGAAGGTCATCAATTTTTGTAGCCCACAATCTGATGATTATTCAAATCACCATGGGTCCGTGGTCTGCGTCGGTCCTAAAATAATTCTAACACTCATTGGGTCTGTTCTCCAAACCTGCTGATAATTCAAAATTTATTTTCGAAACAAAGCTGAGCGATTCAAGGCCCTAAGACCCATTGTTTTCAAATGGAGCATGCGGAAATTGACCAGTTAACGGTATAGTTTGAATTATATGTTTACACGTGGACCTTAATATTTGAAATGGAAACTTAAAAATTGGCCAACAGAAACTAACATTTCCAAATATTCAGAATTCATTATCTTCATCTCGAATATTCAAATCAAGCACACAGAATTTTAACAAAATTATATTTGACAAATAAAATAGTGCAGATAGGCAGATAGTATAAAAGTTCTGTAACCAACGTCCAGACATCATTGGAAAGAGATATAATCTTACAGCCATTCCGGATTGATCATAGCAAATTTTGCAAATTATTAGTTCGAACGTTTCTTAACCAATGGTCATCATGCATTGTTGTTTGTATTCTGCATTGTAATCGGCCGCTCTTGCTATCCGACCTAAAACAGTTTATTTCTATATTCATCCCCGGTAGAATTGCATTATTCATGAAAGTTATTTCATAGGACTTTACTCTTTAGATCAACCTGTTCATTTACCTGACGATATCCATATATGCATCTACATTTGCATATATTGATCATCAGAGCTCAGGCGCACGCAACTATTATTAACATGATCTTATTAGACTTTCAGTATAACGTACCCAGCGACTTAGAGTCTAACAAGATCAATATTAATAGTAGTTACATGACCCTAATATATGATCGAAGTCAACAAAGAAAGAAATACCATGAAAGCCAATGCATGATAACGTGCTATGATTTATTTGATGAAAATGGAAAAATGAAAGACTTGACGGACATTTCATTTTAATAGACTGTACTAGTGTAGCATTTCAATTAGAGAACCGACAACATAATCCCGTTCTCAGGACGAGGTAGATGGCTGTTGATTGGTCACCGATTAAGAATGAATATCCAAATCACGACTGGCTGTGATGAAGATGAAAGAAAAACCAAGCAACACAGTTTTGATTCAGCGACGTGTACATAAGTCTTACCCCTTGAAAAATCATCGACTTAGTCCAACTATAATGATTATGTTGATTATCTGTATTACCTGAGAGGAAACACGGGGACCTGAGAATTTATAACAGCTATATTTGGCCCTAAACTAAGGTGTTCAGAGTAATTTTAATATGGTTTAGGGGTTTAGATCGACTTTCGGTAAATGACGTATATATAATCATTGGGGGTGTCATTTTTACCGAAAGTAAATTTGATGGTAACTGCCCTTGGAGAGAGTTCAGTTCATTTTAAGATCTGCGCTAGAAGAAATGAATGGAACAACTATGATAAAGCATGTTTCCTGGCTGCTGGACTCACTGGACCAGCAAGATCAATTCTGGCTGAATATTCTTACCCAGATTTGGATTTTATCTACCTGATAGACCTATTGAGGCAAAGATACGGTACAGGGGGGAGATCTTAAGTACACCTGGCTGAACTAAGAAACGTTAGACGCAGACAAAATCAACCTCTACAGAGCCTTGCACAATATGTAAGAAGGCTTACTTCATTGGCATATCGAGATGAACCGACAGTCACAAAATCGTCTAGCTTTTCTCTGACACCATCTTTGATTAAGACCTTTATTCCAAGTGCATCCTTCAAACTTAGATGATGCACTTAGGATTGCTTTGGAGGCAAAATCTGTCAATAATATAGAAAGCATGCGACAAGTTGCCAGCCAAGTCAATCTTAAGAGTGTGATCTCATCTAACAGTGACACACTGACAGATTCACTTGTTGAAGATGAAGTTCAGAGCCTTAGAAAAGGTATTGCAGAAAAAACAGCGTAGTTCAACAGTTGAAGACCAAGAGATCCAGTCAGAAATCAGACGAGAGACCTCGAAATCTATCCGATGTGGTCTGTTACTTTTGTAACCAGAAAGGACACTATAAGAGGAATTGTGTAAAATTTCATAACCAAAGTGGGCAATACACACAGTGGCAGGGAAACGATAGGAAACCAACTTCTAAGAGCATGGGAACTTGATGTCGAGTGATCCGGTAGAGACGTCTACGCTGATGCTTGACGGAGATCAAGTTATGGTTGGATCTCAGCTAGTTGCTGGATATTTAGCTGATCGGGCTAGGAGAGGTCTATATTCCTCAGATTCCTAGTTGATACTGGGTCATCTGATACATTCATATCAGAAGAGCAGTATATGAGGATGGCTGCGGACAGTCGTCCAAAGTTATCAGCATGTGATGTCACAGTACGTCAGGCTGATGGTACACCACTGCCAGTGTACGGAAAAAATGTACAGATTTGTATATAGGTTCCACAAAGGTTAATTTAACTATTATTGTTGCTGAAATAAAATTGGGCGGTATTTTGGGGATGGATTTTCTACTAGCAGTACCTAGTATATTGAACCTTACAAACATGCAATTGGATTGTAATAAAGACAAAGTGTGCTTTGAAAGTGTTTACTCAAAACCTCTTACATGTAGACTGTTTGATTTATCAAGAACACAATCCATATTCCTGCTGGAAGAGAGATCATTACAGTGGCTTAGAAAGATGACGACAGCAGACTCTTAGGTGGTATAGGGTTGGTTGAACAACCATCACATGAAGATGCAAATATTACAAGGAAAGGATTTATAACACCAAAGGTAATTGTTCAAGTCTAAGATAAAAAAAAAACTCTGTAAGGTTATGGAATCCTGGCAGAGAGGACACGGCTATTTACAATGGTTCAGCTGCTGGAACTCTAACACAACTTTTCAAATAGATCAGATACAAGTCAATGAGGAAGCTCAGTTGAGGCATATGACAAGTGATAAAACACCTAAGGGTGTGGTACCAGATAAATTACAAAACTTACTGAAACAAAGTACTGAACAGCTGACTAGAAAGGTACAAGTTGCACAATTGCTTACTGAATATCAAGACGTCTTCTTTAAAGATGATGGAGATATTGTCTGAACCAACCTGGTAAAACACCGGATTGACACTGGAAATACACCTCCCAGACGACAACCTTACATGAGGTTACCTAGAGATCAACAAGACATAGCTGATGAACATGTAACAGTCATGCTAGATAAAGACATCATTGAACCCTCAGCTAGTCCGTGGGCTTCCCAAATGGTCTAGTGAAGCGTAAAGATGGTGGAACCAGGTTTTGTGTAGATTATTGCCGTCTTAACATGGCAACAGTCAAATATGCATATCCTCTCCCTCGGATTGATGATACGCTGGACTCTTTGTCTTGCGCAAAGTATTTCTCTACCCTTGATTTGACCAGTGGCTATTGGCAAGTGAAACTTGACTCTGATGCAAAACAGAAGTCTGCGTTCGCTGTTAGGGGTGGCCTTTACCAGTGAACGGTTATGCCCTTTAGATTTTGTAATGCATCATCCACCTTTGAACGTTTGATGGAACACAATTTTACTGGCATGCATTGGAAGACACTTCTCATCTATTTGGATGACATCATCATTTTCAAAACCTTTTTTTTTTTTGAAAATCCGGAATGGCTGCAGATCAGAGCTTAGTTCTTCAAAGTGGCTAACACAAGAACAAGAGAATAATACTGGTATTCGAACTCAAATTCAATAACAAGCCATTCGGATTAATATGTCTCGTCTATGCACCGCCTTGACCATCAATGCACATATCAGAGAAACTAACTTAAACGCTAAAACTTAATGTTGATGAAGATGCTGACAAAGTCAATGGACCATAAAAGGTAGGGGGCATCCAGCATTTGATGCATGGGTTGAGATGTACAACCTAAGATGCATCTATGATCCAAGTTTGGAGAAACTAACTTTGGATGACTCCAAAACACCAAATCACGCCGGCGTATACACGCGTTTCAGCATTTTTTCCGTTTAAAAATATCGATATATTAATAAAAAATACTTTATTTGTTTGAAAAAATGGAAAATTCGTAATTTGTCAGAAAAATATTAATAAACTTAAAAAAATACTACTTTTTCGTTGGAAAATACAGTGAAGAATAATTCAAGTAAAAGAGATCAAAAAGGATTACTCCAAAACCAGGACGACTCCAAAAACCAGAATGACTCCAAAAACAGGATGACTCCAAAACACCAAATAACACCATACACGTGTATCAGCCCGTTCAGCTCGTTCAGCATGAAAAAACTGATGACAAAAATCTATTTTGACGTTAAAATATCGATAAATTAATAAAAAAATACTTAATTTGTTTGAAAAAAAGGGAAACAACCTTAA